TTATTTTTCCCCCAAAGCCCCAGTAGATAGTTGTATGTCATAGCTGCACATCCTTCTAGTTGCTGTATGTGGGACGCGGCCTCAGCATAGCTGGACAAGCAGTGCGTCGGTGTGTGCCCGGGATCCGAACCGGGGCTGCCAGCAGCGGAGCGCGCACACTGAACCGCTAAGCCACGGGGCCGGCCCTATTTAGTTATTTTAATATGGAAAATGATAGAGAGTTGCTAAATGATGTGGAGGAGAGTTATAACTTTTGTGCTCTTGAAAATTTTTGTTTTAGGTCAAAAGATGAGGAGGGACTGGACTCAACTGCTAGGTAATCCGGCACTTTTGTGGGCAGGATTTAAAATAAAAAATTTTCACGTTTGGTTCTTTTCATATGGAACCTAATAAAAGCTAACCTATGAGGCACCAATTAAGTTCCTCTATAAATCTGTCAAAGCCAGAGTCTTTTATTTATTTATTATTTTTTGTGTGTGTGTGAGGAAGATCAGCCCTGAGCTAATATCCATGCCAATCCTCTTCTTTTTGCTGAGGAAGACTGGCCCTGGGCTAACATCCCTCCCCATCTTCCTCCACTTTATGTGGGACACCGCCTCAGCATGGCCTGACAAGCGGTGTGTTAGTGCGCGCCTGGGATCCGAACCCTGGGCCGCCAGCAACGGAGTGCGCGCACTTAATCGCTACGCCACGGGGCTGGCCCCCTTTTTAAAAAAATTTTTTTATTGATGTCATGATACTTTATAACATTGTGAGATTCCAGTTGTACATTATTATTTGTCAGTCAACATATAAATGCGCCCCTTCACCCCTTGTGCCCACCCCCCAACTCCATTCCCCCTGGTAACCACCAAACTGTTCTCTCTGTCCATGTGTTAGTTTATATTCCACATATGAGAGGTCATACTGTGTTTGTCTTTCTCTGTCTAAAAGCCAGTCTTTTAATGTGGGTTAGAAAAATGAGCTGGCTTTAAAATGGGCATGCCATCTTTCAAGAAGACTGAGGTTATATATATGAAATGCTTTGAGCTCCACAAAAGAAAAGTGCGAAGGGTTCCTGGATCCAATTCGTGTGTGTGTGTGTCTGTGTGTGTAGACTTCCCCACACCAACACGCAGTTCTTGGACATCACCAGGGTGTCTGAGAATTCAACTCAAGTTTTTTTTGTGAGGAGATCAGCACTGTGCTAACATCTGCCAATCCTCCTCTTTTTTTGCTGAGGAAGACTGGCCCTGGGCTAACATCCGTGCCCATCTTCCTCCACTTTATATGGGACGCCACCACAGCATGGCTTGCCATGCAGTGCGTTGGTGCGCGCCCGGGATCTGAACCAGCAAACCCCAGGCTGCCTCAGCAGAGCGTGCACTTAACCGCTTGCGCCACCAGGCAGGCCCTCAACTCAGTTCTGATGCTATCAACCTGGAGGACTCAGTCCCACAAGACTGCCCTCCGCTTCAGAGGCCAGTTACAAGCCCAAGTTATTACCTGTGTTTCTGGCCAACTAGCTATAAATCAGATGTTCCCAGGAACCCCCTCCTCAGGTTTGATTAGTTTGCTAGAATGACTCACAGCAAGAAAACCCATTTACTTACTAGATTACCGATTTATTAAAAAGGATATTAAAGGACACGAATCAACAGCCAGATGAAGAGATAGGTAGGGTGAAGTCTCCAACAAAGAAGCTTCTGCCCTTGTGAAGCTTGGGGCCCGGCACGCTGACACTTGGAAGTGTTATGGTTCTCCAGTGTGGAAGCTCTCCGGAAAAAAGGGCCAACAATAAAAGCCACAATGAGCTGACCTTTGGGTCTTTATGGAGGCTTCATTACATAGTAGTGATTGCCTAAGTTTGGCTGTTGGCAATTGATTCAACCTCAAGCTCCACTCCCCTTCTCGGAAATCAGGAGGTGGGACTGAAGGTTCCAATCCTCTGCTCATGTGGCTGGTTCTCCTGGCAACCAGCCCCCACCCTTGGGTGGGGTCCAAAAGTCACCTTCATTAATGTAAACCGAACACCCATTGCACCTTTATGGCCCTCAAGCATTTTCAGGAACTGAGGCAAGACACCAAATATTAAAACAAAAGATGCTCCCATTGCTCTTATTGCTTCAGTAAATTCCAAGGGTTTGGGGAGCTGTGAGCCAGGAACTATGGATGAAGACCAGATATATCTGAGAAATCTATTTTGGTCATCTGAATGACCAAATATATATATATTTCTTATAAACCACAATATCTCAAAAGGGCTACTTAAGTTTAAAGTATTTTGTTGTTTTTTAAAAATTGTAGTAGTATGCGGAGGAACTAAGTGGGATAGCAGTGTGATGTAGATATTTAAAATTAGTTGCAAGAACTCTGTAGGCAAAAATGACAATATAGGTAATACCTTGCCTTCCCGGATCCCCGTTTTATTTATTTTTCTTAAATGAGCCCCATGTACTGCCCCACCACTAGGCCTAAGGAAATATCTTACAATCTTTAGCATATTCCATCCCAGCAGTTTTATGCCCTTAACGTTGGCATTAGTGATTGAAGTGTTCGTGCAACCTGCCAGTTATGCGGAGCCCTGGCGGTTGCTGAGTTTTTTTCTAATATTAGGTATATGACTTGAACAAGACTTAGAATTTGCTTCTTGATTGTACTGAAACCTGTTAAGGGAGTGGTTTAGTTGGATGTAGATGTCTTGTATCTGAGGTGAGTTGGAGCCAACTGTGTGTTTCTTGGTGTCTGTTTTTTGTAGGTGATTTGATGTATTCCCTCTTCTCCCACCCCATCAACTTCCAGATATATACCTTCCGAATAAGCGCCCCCCCCCAATCCCTTAATTTCTGCGTCACTGGAAGCAGGAGTTTCAGACAGGGTGGATTAATGTGTACAGGTGATCTAATATGCAAACCTAAATCAATGCATGGTTATGAGGGAGTGCAGTTCATTAGTCTGAGAAAAGAAGGGCGAGGCGGAGAGGCCTGGGGAGCGTCTTTTTACTGTCAGGTGTCTCCTGGTGGCTATTGCTCTGGAAGTCTGAGGCACTCTAGAAGGTACCACCTGGATGGGGGTCACTCTTAGTATCCAGGCAGAGAGTGGGCAAGGGAGCGGGAGAAGGGGCGCGGCATCACCTGGCTCCGCTGCGGGATGCTTGGCTCCCAGCTTTGGGGTGGGAGCCAGGAGAGATGGGGGCAGCTCTAACAAAGAGGAGCCGCGCTGGGGCCGGGGCCGCGGGTATCTGGCCTATCTCCGGCGGCTGACCTCCCAGTGGGCCTCCCCAGTTGGCTGCTTGGCGAGTCGCTCTGCTGGCTCCCTGGCTCGCCATTGGCTGTGTCGACGGGAGGGGGCTCGAGGAGGGCTGGGATGGAGTTGAGGGGGCGGGGCTGGCTTCCGGCGGCGAAGCGGAGCGAGAGGCTGCCGGCTGGGGGAGGGGGTGTCGGCGCGCCGCGGAGTGCTGCGCTCCGAGAGCCTGGCACCCGGAGCAGCCGCCTCCCCCTCCCTCTGCCAAGACCGCTAGAAGCCCCTTCTCATCCATCTTCCCGGGGAGGGGGCAAGGAGGGCTGAGCTGCCCCAGGCCGGCGGGGCGGAGCCCAGAGCCCCTCCGAGCGCTGCGGACCGAACCTCACCTCCCTTCCAGGGCTCAAGGTGTGTTTGCTTTTTCTAACGCAACCCAGACTTCAGCCGACTTAACCTTGTGAGAAAAGGGGAAACGGCATGGGAAGTAAGAGCTCCACATCCCGTCAATTTTGATTTTTTAATTCTACCCCTCATTATTCTTTCCCTGCCTTCATCTCACCCCTGCAGCAGGGTAAGGAGATTCAGGACTCATTTCTTTTTACTGATGTGTCGATGTCGGTCGCGTAGCAAAATGAGCAGAGAAGAAAAGAGGAGCCCTTTCTTGTGTGACATCTGATGCAGTAAACCGCAAAAGAAAAAAGAAAAAAACGCAGGCTAGGAGTGAGGTTTTGGAACTGTACTGCATCCGTGCTCATTAAGGCTGTCTTCACCATTTTCCTACTTGGGATTGCCTTAATCAGCAAAAACAATCTGAAAAGGAAGGAGGTAGTAGAGGAAAGAGGGAGCAGCCCCCGTCAAATGGTGGTTAAAGGAAATCCTGATAGTTGTTAGCAATTAACTCTGCTAAAGTCTCTCTCGGAGTACGTTGTCGCTGGCTTTGTGTAGTACTCAGCCCTGTGGGAGAAACCTAGCTAGAGCGAGAAAACTTAGCCGTTACTGAAACTTAAGTCTTTTCTGTTTCTCCGTTGATATATTTCTTATATCCATAGATTCTCAGAGGGATTAGTTTTTGTCGTCAAAAACGAAAGCCAAACTTAAAATGTCCAGATGAATTTTCTTTAATTCGTTTATTTTTATTTTTTATTTTTTTTTAATAATTTTATTTATTTTCCCCCAAAGCCACAGTAGATAGTTGTACATCATAGCTGCACATCCTTCTAGTTGCTGTATGTGGGACGCGGCCTCAGCATGGCCAGAGAAGCGGTGCGTCGGTGGGCACCCGGGATCCAAACCCGTGCCCCCAGCAGCGGAGCGCGAGCACTTAACCGCCAAGCCACGGGCCGGCCGGAATTCGTTTATTTTTAAAGGCCCCCCCCCCCAACTTTATGAATTTGGATGGTTGTAACATTATAATTTAAATTATGTATATCTCTTTTGAGTTTCTTTGCTACTACAACTTGTGGATCCCTTCTTTCTGAAGGATGCGGAGCTCATCTTCAGCCAAAATCAAGAACCTCTTTATAGGTTTTTAATTGAGAGGAAAGTTATCAATTGAAAATAGAAAACCCCAAATTTCTGATCTTGGAAACGGGGTGGGGCGGGTCTGTCTATGTTGAGTGCCAGCGTTCATGGTAAACTTGATTTAACTTGGCATTTCAACCAAAGGTGTTCGGATCAGATTTATCTTAATGTTGATTAGTAAAGAGCTAGAATGCCAGAAGGGATAAATGGCAATTTTTTGGCAGCACTTTGGTAAACATTAATTGAAATGATTGAGAGTTCGTTCTTCTTAGTCCAGGTTTGGTTCCCAGAAATTGTTCTAACTGGAGTTCAGTTTTGAATACAAAATTGATATGCTGGAGCTGTCTTACAGTTTTAGCTGGATTAGTGTTTTTTCTTTGCATTGACTTATTGGATCTCTAACCAATAAGGAGCAGTTTGAGGTGAAAGCAAGCATTATAAAGACTAGGGATGATGGGATAGGAAAACATCTCAGTTGTGGAAACTTACTAGGAATGAGGGAACTTACTATACTTTTTTTTTTTTTAATCTCAAGTAGCCTTAGTATAGAATTCTGCAAAAAAGTAGATTCACGGTAAACCTATGTTGAATTTTGGATTTTTAGTTTATTACCCATTTATCTTTTTTTTTTTTTTTTGTGAGGAAGATCAGCCCTGAGCTAACATCCTTGCTAATCCTCCTCTTTTTTTGCTGAGGAGGACCAGCTCTGAGCTAACATCTATTGCCAATCCTCCTCCTTTTTTTTTTTCCCCAAAGCCCCACTAGATAGTTGTATGTCATAGTTGCACATCCTTCTAGTTGCTGTGTGTGGGATGCGGCCTCAGCATGGCCGGAGAAGCGGTGTGTCGGTGTGCGCCTGGGATCTGAACCCGGGCCGCCAGTAGTGGAGCGCGCGCACTTAACTGCTAAGCCACAGGGCCGGCCCCCCATTTATCCTTTAAGACTCCATGACTCATGTTTAAATTAAGGGCAAAGGATCCCCCAGATGTTGTCTTACCTAACTTGTTACTGAGAATGAACTATTAAAACTGATTGAAGCTTTGACAGCTAGGTAGTGTATAAAACAAGTGCACTTTGATGGCTGAGCTGTAGCAAGCTGAGGAAGTGACAAAAAACCACTTGGAGGCCATATTAAAGCATATACCACTTCAGCTTGCTTCTACCAAAAAACAAGTTGTCCTGCTATTTGATATCGAAGGTGGGTTTGTTTTTTTTTTTGGTCTACCCATCGGTGAGCAGTTAATATAGCTTTATAAAGTTATATTACACTTTGCTTGCTTAATTTTTTTATATTTCTATTTTGACTGATTTGTGTAATCAGTATTTTGCATGGTGCAGTGATTTCCCCAAAGAATTTTCCCCAGGAGACAAAAGGCTATGTATAGAACTAATCATAGGTGTATCTGCACTGATCTCCAAATAATCATTTAAGGGGGATGGAAATCCTCAAATTTGGTCCTCTGCAAGGAAACAATTATATGAAGCCATGACTTCCCATAATCTTTTAGGTTGAGGGAACGTGGTGCTGCTGAGGTTAAAGTAGCTGATTTAATTTTCTTTAGCAATCTGTTTTTATCCATCCTGCTTATTTCTCTGAGTCACAGCTTAGAATATGTTAAGAAAAAGGGCCCTATGTTCTCTCTAAAGGGAGACTCAAACCCAATCCCCTGTTCACATCAGAAGTATAAAATGATCCCTTGAGAAGGTGAAGGAAAGATTGGACCCTTGGCATTGTTTGACTCTCATAATATCAGCTTGAGTGTTGTAAGGCTTGGAATTGGAGAAGCTTGCTCAAGGTGAGAAAATATTAGAGGCAAAAAAGACCATGTGAGAGACTTATTTAGAGACAGTGAATGCATTCATATGGAGATGTGGCTGGTAGTGGTTTTTGCTATTCAGCTTTGTCAGTCAGGTATCTGATACAATATTCTGTGTGTTTAAGCACAGCCCCCTCCCCCAGGGGTTGACTCTTGGAAGCTGAATCTTTTGAGGAACTTGTTTGCTTTGAGTCTGAATCCAGAGAGTGGAGGACTTGGTGGAGTCTGTTATCTGTTTACAGCTCAGATGAGGATGTGAAATTGATTGGTGGTGAGTTCCTGAACTCTTCCTAATGAATGGTTGCTAGGCAAAGTGCATCTCAATCAGTTTAATCTTCAGTAGTTTACAGGTCTGCTCTTGGTGAAGGCCAGAGCTGCCTTTATAATGATACTGCCCTTTAAGAATCCTTGTTGGATGTACCTGTATGTTGCTCAGTGGCTCAAAAAAAAAAAAAAAAAGACTAAAATGATGTATGGATCTCACTTCATCCTTCTAAGCTACTTTGGCTTTTGGTAACCTGGGTCAGCATTGTCATTAACTTCTCTCCTGGAACAAGTGGTGGGTGGGGTTGCTCTCCCATATTAAGATACTACTGTGTTTGATTATCTTTGGTTTTGTAACTAGTAAGGCAGTGAACTAACACATTCATTTTGGAAACAGGCCAGTGATAACGCTGCCCTTGGGCCTGGATGGATGGAAAAATAGGACAGAGTAAACAATTGAGGGCATAAATAATGAATCTTCCAACTGAGCCCTGGGAGAGTGAAGGAGATTATCCTCAGAGCTGTTCACTGGCAGTGAAAGGGGAAGAGTCCAGTGAATTAATTGCCCTGACTGTGTTTGACACGGCACTTATTATTGGATTGTTAGGGCCATTCAAAACAGAATTGCCTTTAGATATAAACTTTTAACCCATCTTTTTCTTTTGTTTTGTTTTTTTAAACCAAACACTCAAATTGCTCATTTATTTTTTAGAATCCAGGACTTTCCTCCCTCCCAACTTTGTTCTATATGTTAGCATTCTTTGAATACTGGACAGTCCTTTTGTTTGGCCAGATCTTAGAATTTTGCTTAATTAGAGATTTCATTACTTGTAAATATATATGGTAATAGAAGAGAAAAATAGAAAGCCTGAGCCTGATTTAAAGAAATTCTTTGGTACTTTGAGTATGTATTATACTTTGAAATTAAATGTAGGGTTGTAGGGTATAATTATGTAACAACTCACAAAAGATTAAGACAAGAGTTTCTTCAGCCCAAGAATCAGTTCCAATGTTAACATAAATATTTTTACTTTTGGAGTAGTTTTTATCCAGTGAATTAAAATAAGCAGTCTCTTAGTGGTCTCATCATTTCTCAGAGGTGGGGAAAATGAATGTCCTGAGAATGTCTCAATAACTTGGTGATTTAGTCAGGCCCGGAGCCAAGGTCTCTGAATTCTTCCCTTCTCTGAATTTCTAATGTATTCAATTCTTTTTTCCAAGAACTCCTTTCGGGATCTCCATATAAAATTATTTGAAATTTTCCTGTCTCTACCCTCAGAAACTGTTTTTTTTTTTTTTTAAAGATTTTATTTATTTATTTTTTCCCCCCAAAGCCCCAGTAGATAGTTGTGTGTCATAGCTGCACATCCTTCTAGTTGCTGTATGTGGGACGCGGCCTCAGCATGGCCGGAGAAGCAGCGCGTCGGTGCGAGCCCGGGATCCGAACCCGGGTCGCCAGCAGTGGAGCGCGCTCACTTAACCACTAAGCCACGGGGCCGGCCCAGAAACTGTTTTTATTTCTTTAGTCATGAAGGGAATCCAAAGACCAAGATGCCATTATCAATCAAGGGATGGAGGAAGACTTAGGATGAGGTGTTGGAGGAATAAAAGACATGTAAAGGAAAGGCCAGATTGAAGTTTTATTATGTTTTGGTGCTGATGGATCCCAGGGAGGGAGCATTGGCTGATTAGATCAAAATCAGTCATGGACTGAGTTTGTTACATTTCAGCCTAGCTGAAAGGGCAGAGGGCAGAGGGCATCTTGACCAACATATGGACAGAACTCTAATTAAGGATTCATTCCTG